CACACCAGCAATCCTACCATCATGTAAAACAATTACAGGCTTTCGTTTTACACTCACTTGGCAGGACGGTAGTACCTCCCTGGGTGGTTGCTGGTTGATGGGTAGGCTCCAGGGTGTACACGTTTATAGAGGGGCAACTGATATATCGGATTATTATCTAGTTGTAGCTACAGTTAGAGTAAGAGGTAGATGGGACAAGAGGAAAATGGCAACAACAAGTAAGAGGGAGGTGAAAGTATATAAACTAAGGGGGGAGGAAGTTCAGGTGAGATATAAGCAACTATTGGCAGAAAGGTGGGCTGATGCAAGTATGAGTAGTGAGGGGATTGAAGAGGGTTGGAATAGTTTTAAAAATGCAGTATTAGAATGTGGGGCAGAAGTTTGTGGCTATAGGAGGGTGGGGGCAGGAGGAAAGAGGAGTGATTGGTGGAATTACGAAGTAAAGGGTGTGATAAAAGAGAAAAAGGTAGCTTATGAGAGGTATTTACCAAGCAGAAGTGTTATAAGAAGAGTACAGTATATAGAGAGCAAAAGAAAGGTGAAGAGAGTGGTGAGAGAGTGCAAAAGGGGAGCAGATGATAGAGTGAGAGAGACACTGTCAAAAAATTTTAATGAAAATAAGAAAAAATTTTGGAGTTAAACAAGTTAAGAAAGCCTAGAGAACGAATGGATTTGTCAAATTTTAAAAAAAGGTAGGGGAGTCAGTAAAGGGGGTGGAAGGATAAAAACCATTGATTAAACTTTCTGGAGCTACAGAATGGAAAGGAGTTAGAAGTTAATAGGTGAAACCGGACTGTGAGTGGGCGGAAGGGGAGTGTGTAATAAGGGGTTAACTGAAAGGGGTGTGTGAAGTTAAGGGAAAAGTGAGCAGTGAAGAGGTTTTGAAGAAGAAAAATTTGCTAGTAATTCAGTGGTGACTGCTAAAGCAGATACTAGGGTGTATTGGTGACTGAAAAAGAGGAAATAAATAATATTGTATTAAGTAATGTGCGAAGAGTGAAAATGCAGGCATTAGGGGTATTACAGGTGCCATAATTATAGTTATCTTTTTCTTCAATTCCATGAAGAAAGAAAATCAGTCATGGGGGCCGGAAAGGTGAATGGAGTAATAGCGCCCGGGACAGTAAAAGGCCAACAGTTTCCATCCTACCAGAAAAGTAAATGTCACTTCGCCACAAGGTATGGCAAACACCGCATACCCAAAACAAAAACAGTGGCACACAGCTCTTTATTGTAGCACTTTAAGTGGTGATATCCAAATTAATCCAGGACCTCAAACTATGGTGCAGAGGGCAAACAGACAGATAAATGACGGTGATAATGGGCGGTGTAGTAGCTAGGATGAGGGGGGGGGTTAACCTTAACTCCATATTGTAATGCATACATCGGTCAATGTGAGACAATACAGCCATTATTATCTCAACAATACAAACAGGGTGCATACACTGTACTGAAGTACGCATGAAAAACAGAAAAGGCACCTTAAGTAAATGTGTAAGGGGTGGGTGCATGATGGATGTATGTACAATTATAGCAACCCCCCCCCGGTGCCAGAATTCACTTTGTGTGTAACAATTGCACTTTGGCAAGTTACCTTTAGCAATGAGACATTGATTTACCTAATTTAATGCAAATAACCCATTGCCTATTTCATGATTTATAATTGCTTATTGAAACAGGCCTTCACCTTACTCATGTCAAAAACACAAGTCCACTGTCAAAAAATTTTAATGAAATAAGAAATATTTTGGAGTTAACAAGTTAAGAAAGCCTAGAGAACGAAGGATTTGTCATTTAAAAAAACAGGAGTAGGGGGTCAGTAGATGTGGAGATGGAGGTATTGGGTAGATGGCGAGAATATTTTGAGGAACTTTTAAATGTCGACGAAGAAATGGAGGCGGTAAATTTCATGCACTGGCCAGGGGGTAGACCATCTTTTAGGAGAGAAGAAGAGAGAATGTAAGTGGGTGGAGGTACGTGAGGCATTACATACATGAAAGGGGTAAGCAGCAAGGAAAACTAACGGGATCATGACAGAAAATGTTAAAAGCAGGAGGGGACATAGTGTTGGAAAGGTTGGTATTTTGTTTGTAAATGTATTGAAAAAAAAAAAAAAAAGGGTGGGGGAGGGAAGTACCTTAGGGGATTGGCAGAGAGCGTGTATAGTCCCTTTGTATAAAGGGAAGGAGGAACAAAAGAAGGTTGTCACAGGTGCTCTGTGCTGATGACACTGTGCTCTTGGAGATTCTGAAGAGAAGTTTGCAGAGATGGTGGATGATTTTGGTAGGGTGTGCAAAAGAAGGAAAAAATAAAGGTGAATACAGGAAAGAGTAAGGTTATGGGATAACCAAAAATGATTAGGTGATGAAAGATTGAATTCAGATTGGAGGGAGAGTGTATGGAGGAGAGTGAACGTATTCAGATATTTGGGAGTGGGACGTGTTCAGCGGATGGGTCTATGAGATGAGGTGAATTCATAGATTGATGAGGAAAAAGAGTG